GTCTGAACATTTCCAATAATCTTAAATGCAACTATCATATAGAGGAAATTGTTAAAAAAGCTTCCACCCAGTTGTATTTCCTGAGGCAACTAAAACGTGCCAAAGTTGCGGAAAAGGAAGTTTTAACCTTCTACAAGACTTGTATTCACCCTATAACCAAATGCGCCTGTCCTGTTTTCCACAACGGATTACCCACATATCTGTCGGAAGAATTAGAATGTATACAAAAACGTGCAATGCAAATCATATTCCCAAACATTAATTATCAGGACGCACTGAAGAACAGTAACTTATTGTCTTCATACGAAAGAAGAGAATACCTAACGAATAAAGTCTTTGAAGAAATATGTTCTGATCCCCAACCATAAACTGCATTATCTGGTGCCGAAACTAAACAAAACTGATATTGAACTAAGGAATAGATGCATGTTTAACTTTCCTGTGTGGAAAAGAAACAGACTAAAAAATAGTTTTATATTTACTAATTCAGGTATGAAAACTTTTTAATCCTAGTTTATATATACTTGTTGGATATTACATGTAAAATTAGCTTATCACTATTTAATCACTTTTAACTTTTATATTATGTAAATTTATATACAATTCAGCCATTTTGGCTGCAATGATATATCCTAATAAACTATCTATCCATCCGTCCATCCATCCATCCATCCATCCATCCATCCATCCACAAGCAAATGCTGAAATTGAAAGACAGATGAGAAATCTAAATAAAGTAATTAAAATTTCTTATGCGCAAGGAGGAAATTTAGAGGAGGAACTTAACAAATTCCTAACAGCGTATCATACAACACCTCATGGGACTACTGGAAAAGCCCCAGATGAGATGTTATTCAAGAGACGTCTTCGCACAAAGATACCTGAATTGGTTCCTTTTGATAAATGTGATGAAGAAGTATGTGATAGGGATGCAGTTTCAAACAGAAAGGAAAGGAATATGCGGATGACAAGAAGAATGCAAAATATCCTGACCTAAAAGTTAATGATAAAGTTTTACTACAGCAGCGTAAAGCATGTAGGACAACAACTATGTATGAACATGATCCTTACGAGATTGTTGATGTGAATGGTTCACAAGTGACGATCAAATCAGGTGAAGGTGTTTGCTACAAGTGTGTTATCATCTTTATTATTAGGGTCAATTAATCATATATTACAAAGAAAACATATAAAATATCAATATAGACCAAATGGGCAAAGGTATAAACAGGACTCAAAGAACCATGCAAGATACCTTCCCAAATATTATTAAAACTAATTTGTATGACATTAGACACACAGGACACAACTCTACATACACCTAGTGCACCACAATTTACGTCCTACGGCACGAACAGTCACGAAACAAGCACCACATACATGACAAGTCAACATCATAAATAGAATCAACAATACTAAAGTATCTACGTTTAACTAAACATTTGAAAGAACTAGACAGTGTCCAAACATACATATTTACATACAATGTTCCACAGTTTGACAACACGATTATAGTACGAAGATTGAAAAGTGCTTGTTCTACAAATTTGACTTTGTAGAATGTACTTTGAGGTGTTACTCATCCGAATTCGACCGTAACTGACAAACGAGACAGTCACAGACATCAACATTCTTCACATAACCAAACAAAGTCTTGTACAGATACACCAAGTCCTTGACCTCCCTGTCGAAGGTTAATGGCAGAAGGTTCAAGGCCAACTGACGTTCTTTGTAACTGAGCTCTCCTCTTCTGCTCATCATGATCCATTGCATCGCCTGACGTTCCACTCTTTCAATCTGCTTTGAGAGTTGGATGTTATTTACGGACGACCAAACTTCTGTTGCATAGCATAATTGCAATTTCACATGAGTCAAATAAAGAGTTCACCTGGCTTTCATGTCTGTCAGTTGAGTACATGTTCATTTCAGTACACCTAACATTTTGTTAGCCTTGGAGATGACACAATTGATTTGAAGTTCCCATGAAAGTCCGGAGGAAGTGATGACGCCAAGATCCTTTTCACTGTCAACTCAAATCAGACTTTCTGTTCCCAGTTTGTAATCATAAGTGACTGGAGTTTTCTTGTGTGCAATGGTGAGTACTTTGCATTTAGAAGAATTGAAACGGATGTTGTTTTGTATACTCCAGCAATTCAGATTTGTCAATCGTTGTAAACATTTGCAGTCATCAGTAGAGGTAATTGTATTGTGCAATTTAGTATCGTCAGCATACAGGGCTGTTGCAGTTCCATTTTGCACAACATCTGGGAGATTGTTAATGAAGATGACAAACAATAACGGACGAGAATACTTCCTTGAGGTACTCCAGAGGTGACTGGTGACCATGCCGAAGCCACACCATCTACAACGACTCTCTGAGTCCTACCATTCAAATAGTCTGCGAACCAACCCAAAACTGACCCTGTCACACTGTAACCACATAGTTTCTTGAGAACGATTGCATGATTCACAGAGTCGAAAGCCTTAGCGAAATCCAGATACGAGACGTCTGTTTGAATATTCTTATCTAGATCATGTCCAATAGTGTGGAATACTGATAGCAGTTGAGTCACACACAAATGCTTTCAAAGAAAGCCATGTTGAGCTCGGCTAATGTGATGTAGAATGTGGTCGTGAAATCAGAAGTAGACACAGCATTCCAAGACTTTACTGACAATTGACAGTAACAAAATGGGCCGATAGTTTTCCACTGGCTCCTTCGAATCTTTCTTATGGATCGGTGCAACGTCTGCCGATTTCCACTCTGAAGGAATCCGACTACATTGTACAGAGAGGTTAACTCTTTTGCATCACAACCCAGTTGTATCGATCCTGAGCGATCGACGGCTATAAATTTCATACCTTCGGTTCAGTGCATGCTATGAAGACAGAAATACCACCAATCGATTCAGAAATAAAAGATAG